CTTCAAATAACGAAAAATTGCATCCCACAAGGGGACAACTAGGAGGATATCATCAGGTCTCTCTCTTGAAGTCAGTCAGTTGGTTTGTTCCATCGTGTGATATATCGGTGGTTTCCACTACAGTATATACGAGAAGGACCTCAGTTGTTGTCTTGACTTTGCTCTGGCATTCGCACTGTTCTCTTAGCATTGCCATAATCTCTGCCTTGAACTCTTCCACTCATGTTGCCCCGGTCGCCATCTGTCTATGGACTTCTAGTATAGTTTTCAGTATATTTTTCATCTCCTCCATCTCCCTTCTTATTTGTGTGTGCTGTAAGTCTGCGGCTGCGTTTTTATATTGGAGATTCTGGATATAAATCTTCAACTGGTCTTTCTGGCCTTGAAGTCTCGACTAGCCTGCTAGGTGTTGCTCCTGGGTGCCTCATATCTTCTTTGAGCTTCTAGGTTAGTTCTTTTTTATAGCAGCTTTCATTGTCTCTCTGCACTGATGTAGATATAGGCATCCCAGATATCTGGCATAATGTGGGCCAAAGCAATTTGCGCATTCCCTTTTTGTACTGTGCGTCTTCAGGTCGCTGTCCATCTTGACATTTGAGCACTCATTGTAGGCATGGGCTCCGAGAAATATCTGCATGTCTCTTGTTTGCTGAGACGTGTTGCTCTGGACTGCCAAATCTTCTGGCAGGGCGAACATTACAGTATTGGTGGGACATACTACTCTGGTCTTTGTGGCCTCTTGTAGAAAATAACTTTGTCCCGGATAAAGTCATCTTCGATTGAGACCACTGCCACTGTCGTAGGAATGTGTCTGGGTCCCAGTCGCTCCGACTTGGTGATGAGTAATTGTGGGTTTTCTTTCAGTATTTGGTCGTGTATTTCTTGTCGGTTAGTTGTAGCTCTTTCTTAGATATCTTCTTGATCTCCTGTACCATTTTACACATCTTTGTGGTCTTGTTTAGTGTGGAGATGTGCGGCTCAGCTTCAAGGTGGCTCGCCCAGCTTCACGGTGGATCGCTTTCTCCACAAGCCCTCCAGTAGCTTCGGAACTGTCAGCATGTTTAGGGTAGTTATTGCTTCTCGTTCGACGCTGGACTGTCAAATTAAGATTGCTGTCCGGAATGTGAGATCATCGTTTGGCTGATCTTTCGTCATGTCTTCCGCATCTGTCTGCGCCTCTGCCACGCTCGAGTGCTCCCTGACTGCAGCGGTTTGGATGCTCTGCTTCTCGGTAGTATCTGGTTGATCACCCCTCTCAGAGGTAGTCACTCCTGTTGGAGGTGTTTTACTCTGCTCATCCATAGTATCCATTGTATTGGGCTGTTTCTTTTTGGTCTCTGGCGATATCTACATGTGGGTTCCAGGGTTACAATTTATAGGATGGTGTGGGATATACCTACCATATCAAAGCTTTGAAAATTGTGTTAACAAAAACTGTTTGGGGAAGGGATGGGGAGGGGGGTGTCACATATCACTCCTGTCACGTGCCTGATTTAAGGATTTCTCCTTATAACCCAACAGCACTCAGAAATAATTATATTGAGTCGTTTGGCTCGTATTGGTCTAAGAGATGCCCCGTGGCCAATATACGCTCAACTTATTTCTGGAGCAGGGCAACTCAAGTTTTGGCACTACAAAATATATCTGTATATGAATACTATATTCCTAGGCACACTTGGCTGGACACCCCCACTACTATAAAAAGAAAGCCCCCAGGTTATGATAGTTTACTATCATAACCATGTTAACACATATAATATTTATGGTTCATACACACAACAATGCTAAACACTTATAAAGGTGAAATAGAGACACCTAAGTCAGCCATGAAAATGAATGCATGTAACCATTACAACATATACATAAAATAGTGAAGTAGACAACAGATCTCAGTGGATGAATCCCAGAACACAATGACCAGACTCAACAGAAATCTAAACAGCCAGAAAGTCCTGGAGGTAACACTGTCTCATCCTTGGAATCCATTGGAGCTGTGGGGAATATAGCATGACATAGAATCAAAACTGGCACTTTTCCTAGTTCTATCGTTGATACTTCCCTCAGCTCCTGATGATTCGACTGTCTTTGACTCTGGTGATTCTGCTTCAAGTGGATCAGGTAGTAGAGGAGTACCTCCCCATAGAGGACACAGAAACTGTATAGGTACTCAGCTAGTCTCTCCCACCGGTCAGGTCACAATTCTGTCTCTGAGCTACACCAAGCTCCTGAAGACTGGTCTACTCGAGTATGGATATACTCTCTACCAATGTTCACCTGCTCTGGAGTTCACTCACATGCTCTGGCACTGTTAGGATGTTTGGGGTATATGGCACCCCATGATGATGATGCCAGTTACCTTCACTGGCGTTAGCTGGTGGGTAGTTGGTTGATAGTTGGTTGATAGTTGGTTGATGGGTGTTGGTTGGACTGTGATTATTCTGCCAGCTCTTCATAAAGGTTTCATCCTGTCATGAAAGAACTCAGAATTAGTCATCACCAAGAGGGTAACATCTTGACAGGAAAGACTCAGAATAAGCATCAGTTACCATCCCACATCAGCCTACTCCACCTCTGCTCCTCTGTTTCATTCCTCAGAGTGTACTCTCAAGACCAAGAGACAATGTCTCCTATCATTTATCTGTCTGTTTAGTGCAAGAGATGGAAAGTCAGATATATATATAGTGGAGACAGATAGGCACTATCACACGTATCTCAATTACTCTCCTTCCTCCCATCTGCACACAGACAACAATGTTTACAGTCAGTACCCATATCCCTTACGACTCTCAAGCCTTTCCCACACATTCATTGATCTGGGTCAAACACACTCAACGCAACGCTCTGGTTGCCCAAGTACTGACCTAAATTCTCCGTCCCCATTCGTATGCACAAACTTCTGTTGTTAGTTTAAATGGTACACACTTGTAGGGTCATTATCTTTACCAATATGTGTGGGTTATTTAGGGCATAGGCTATTTAGTCTGTACAGAAGAAGGTCTAAGTTCGAATCCGCTTCTCTAGAGATCAAGAACGGTCGAACTATGTGTGATTCCCATAGCCGATTCTGATCTCTCTACAGCAGTGGCCAACTTTAAAAAGATATATTTAGGGTACTCGTAAACTATAATTAACTTACCCAAGCATAGTAAATGTCCTAGACACTACAGGCCGCCTTCTTAAATTGAAAATTACTGAGGCGTCGATGCATACATCTGATCTCTAGGAAAGCCGGCAGAAACAATGACCGCACAAATTCAAGTTAGGCGTCGGTAAGAAGAAGTTCCTTGTATACATGAGCAGGGAGTAAACCGGTTTCCAAGAATATTCAAATAACTCCAGCAATATTTCTCATACTGTTCCAAATTTGAAAATGACGCTAAGTCAAAACAACTAGAAGATGTAGACATTATAATTTTATCCGATAAAGGCATATATCGATATAAGGGACTATAACCTTTTCCGGACGAGTCCAAGTTTGAAAGTTTTGTCGAGCACAGGTAATACAGGTCCCGACTCTTTTACGTTAATGTGTAATGGCTTGTCATTCCTTGACAGGGGGTATCACACGTAACTGAAACAGATCAGCAAAATACACTCACACACTTGATCATTCACTCTATCTGTATACTCTCTCCTCTCTCACTCTCTCTCTCTCTCTCTCTCTCTCTCTCTCTCTCTCTCTCTCTCTCTCTCTCTCTCTCTCTCTGAAAACATAACATTATTGGACAACTTAACTACATTACCAACAACCACAAAAACCGACAATACCGGTCTTCCGAAAATTTTAAAATTATAACGGCGTGGACCTAGCTTAGATACACAGTCATTCCAAGAAAGAACATTTGCAACGAATCATGAGTTTAAAAATTATCTTGATGTCTCAAAAAAAACAATGAAGCACCATTAGTTCTGAAGATGATTGCTCATGGTGTTCAATACACAACTGATAGAAGAAAAAGACATTGTACAGACTGACATTCTACCCCACCAGGACATCACACAAGCGATAAACACCCGATGACACAAAGTGCCACCATGTGGCTGAGGATCCGTGGAGAGGTCCCAGAAACCACGTTCAGCCTTTAGGCCATATTTATGGCCAGGCTATATTGCGGCCCCTGGCAAAAACCAGAGTAGGGCTTCAAAGAACGAAAAATTTCATCCTGAAAAAAAAAAAAACAATAATTTAAACATACCATACCACAGTCCGTTCAGCCTGCATGCTCGTGTAAAAGATGCCAGAAGCTTAAGTAACTTACTTATTATAAATGTTGTTTATTTTCAGCTTGCACTGAAATGTGTAGTTTTCTATACTTTTATTCGCTGAAATGCGTTGTGTTCTGTAATTTTCTGCACTGAAATCTGTGTTGTTTTCTCCTCGTTCCCACCCCCTCTTTTTGCCGCCTTATACACTGTTGTTTTCATACACTGATATGTGTTGTTTTCTCCCCTTTCATTAACTGATATTTGTTGTTTTCTCCCCTTTCATAAACTGATATGTGTTGTTTTCTCCCCTTTCATTCACTGATATGTGTTGTTTTCTCCCCTTTCATACACTGATATCTGTTGTTTTCTCCCCTTTCATACACTGATATGTGTTGTTTTCTCCCCTTTCATACACTGATATGTGTTGTTTTCTCCCCTTTCATACGCTGATTTGTTTTCTTGTCTCCCCTCTCATACACTAAAACATGCTGTTTTTTCTCTCCTTTTTTACACCTTAATTCTTTGATTCTTCATTTTTCACACTGATGTATTGTATTTTCTACTTTCTGTCGTGACGTGTGCGTGCGTTTGTGTGTGTGTGTGTGTGTGCATGTGTGTGTGTGTGTGTGTGTGTGTGTGTGTGTGTGTTTGTGTTTGTAATATGCGCTTTTGCTTTTCTCTTCTTGCACACGCTGAAAAATTATGCCCTTTACTTTTTTTTTACTACATATATGAATTGTTTTTTCTTCTTTCATACACTAACATGTGTTTGTTTTTTTTCTGTATCTTTTCAGGTTAGTTTAGATTCCCGCGTGCGGGAAGTTATAAATAGAAACATGGTTGACCCCACGCCTAATACATTCGACGAAGCCCAGCTTCAAATCTGGACATTAATGCACCGAGATTCCTATCCACGTTTCCTCAACTCTTCAGTGTATAAAAAACTTCTTCAGCAATTGTCCTGAACGACCGTGGACACAAATGAATTTATATCCTGACATCTTGAACACAATGGTAACTCCCTGCAGAATCCCATTACAGAGTGTACTGTCAAGAAGTATTACAAATCCTTGTCTGGAGTATTCGCACTGTTGGATGGAAACAATTGTGATAATTCTTGGAAGATTATTTGTTTTGTGAATGGATAAGAGTAGTGTCCAAAATTCTGATATCACCTATGTTGTATACAACGGAACAAAATTGCTGTAAATGTGAATGGATTTCCTTTTGTGGCGTGTGAAATGAGTAATATGGTAGTTGATGTGTTTCTTTGTGTTTTGTAAAGTCAGCAAAGAGACGAAACTAGTTTTTCATCTTAAACCTCGTTCATTGTTGCTCCAAAGTGGAGACGAAGAAGATGGCTTGACAGGAAACTGATCAACCGAAATCATAACATGATGACCAAGTGTATATGAAATTATTTATGTATACCAGTGTTTCTACAGAACGACCTGGAAAATCTTCAGCGTACTTTTATTTTCATCGAGAAGTCATGGCGAGAAAGGGAACTGATCAACTCAGATCATGATATTATACATTTATAGTCATTTTCTTATGCGTTACTACACGGATGATTGGCACTTTATATTGTTATTTACAGCTAGGCTGTGATATCTGAATTTCAGGCATAACACATCCGATATCCTAAGTTAGTTGTATTTTACGATATGTTGATTAAGGGGCGATGACCTGCCACGCCTAAGCAAATGGGGCCTCATAACCCACGCCGGCATAAATGTTGAACAAGTACTGAGCTGTGACCTCATTAGAATTACCTGCACCCTTATCTGATTAGAGCTAATTGGGCATTTACCTCATCTGTTTCAGTAGCTACAATTTGTGTTTAAAATAAAATGCAACCCAGCAGTTTCCTTTCCGTGAGCAATTCTAGAAGGGAATTATCCCTAATATGATAAGCTACCAATATGCCAAATTATCAATGTTCTTTGAAGTTTGAGATAAGAATAATCCGCCAGTGCACAAGATTCTAACAGGCCGGCCCTGGGAACTTTGAGTACAGCAAACCACGTGATGTGTGTAGGAACCTAGCACGCAGATTCCTGGGTATACTTTACGTTCATTTATAGACTTGACTAGTTTTGATTATTGTGTGGAAATTCAGGTTCAAGGCGATGATTTTCATTTGTTTTTTTTTTTTGTTTTTTTTTGGAGTTTAGACTTAGGTAGGAGAGGGGGAGGGCAGCTTTCTATGATAATTTATAAATATTTAGGTATAACTAGAACAAAGGGCAGACGTGTTGAAAATAAAATTGGCTATCCTACGAATAACGGTCTCAAATTATCGAGGCCGAAAATATACCCTAAAAGGGATTATACCGCCACCGCCGAATTGCGAACTTCCGGAGACCATACCGCCACCGCTAAGAGTATCCCCCACGCAGCTCACGCGGCGTGGATTGGGGCTTTACTAGATGGCTGGGACTCATGAGCAAATAAAATGAAAGAAGCTGCAGGAGATGCGGTAGCTGCTGCTCGTGAGTCCCAGTCATCTAGTTTAGCCCTTGAGCGGCATGAGGGATACTCTCTGCGGTCGCGGAAGTGCGCAATTTAAGTCGCCAGAAGTGCGCAATTGACACGTGACTGAGGCCCTGTTAGGGTATATTTTCGGCCTCGATAATTTGGGACCATTATTCGAAAGATAGCCTAAAATTGATAGTGAAGATAGCTTAAAATTGATAGCATAAAATGTATTTATTTCTTGTTTAACGCATTATTTAACACCAATAGCAGTACCTTTGCCATGTATAATATAAAACTAACGAGTATAAGGCATTTTATTTTTCACACTATTACTGCATTGAATGTGTGTTGCTAAACCTATATTTTCTATACCAGTCAGTTCTCTGAAATAGGATGAATTCAAGGGGAGGGGGGGGGGGGGAAGAGAGAAATGCCTGAACAACCACTGATAACAACGGCTATAAGACAACAAAGAGGGCACTGTATTGGACAAATCCTGGGGGAAAAAAACATAGAATCACCATACCGACACCACAATGGAAAATAAAGGGATTAAGGAAGCGAGCACAACCAACAGAAACCCTCAGATGAACGTTGATGAGAGAGGCCAAAGGTGCTGGCTGGATACCATTTATAATATCGACTAAATTGCACAGGATAGAGCGGAATAAAGTGAGCCCTGTTTAACATATAATGGCACAACAGGACGATGATGATGATAAACTGGTATTCTGTGTGTTTACCTCATGGAGTGTTAACTGGTCTAAGGAAATATGGTTCTAACCCAATATGCCCAAAGTGCCAGTGGTATAAAAATGGGTTCTTTGCTTACATATTTCTGAAGCCGTTTGATATGTTTGTATTCAGTGTTAACCTGTATACATTGACATGGACAGTAATTGCAGTTCTTACATTTTTGCATGAACTCATTAACTCTTTACCGGCATCCAATGTGTAAACAATAGTACTCCTTGATTCCCCCTCCACACTTTAACATTGTAGCATAATTTGCTCTCACTAAAGAAATCCAACTTCTCCAATGATCATTTAGTTAACTGGTTAATTAACCGACTTATGCTACACATTGCACATTGGACCAGTCCGATAGAGCTTGGATCTGATCTTGAGTACCTCCCTCAGTGTGTGGCAACTCATAACATTAGTTCTTTGAGGATAGAACAAATGAATGTAACATGAGCCTTAGGCTCAGAGAGTTCATAAAAATGTGTCAGAGCAAAATTAGGCTCAGAGAGTTCATGAACATGTGTCAGAGCAAAATTAGGCTCAGAGAATTCATGAACATGTGTCAGAGCAAAATGTGGTTCAGAAAGTTCATGAACATGTGTCAGAGCAACAAAATTAGGTTCAGAGAGTTCAAGAACATGTGTCAGAGCAAAATTAGGCTCAGAGAGTTCATGAACATGTGTCAGAGCAACAAAATTAAGCTCAGAGAGTTCATGAAAATGTGTCAGAGCAAAATTGGGTTCAGAGAGTTCATGAACATGTGTCAGAGCAATATTTGGTTCAGAGAGTTCATGAACATGCGTCAGAGCAAAATTTGGTTCAGAGAGTTCATGAACATGTGTCAGAGCAAAATTGGGTTCAGAGAGTTCATGAACATGTGTCAGAGCAAAATTTGGCTCATAGAGTTCATGAACATGCGTCAGAGCAAAATTAGGCTCAGAGAGTTCATGAACATGTGTCAGAGCAAAATTGGATTCAGAGAGTTCATGAACATGTGTCAGAGCAAAATTGGGTTCAGAGAGTTCATGAACATGTGTCAGAGCAAAATTAGGCTCAGAGAGTTCATGAACATGTGTCAGAGCAAAAACCAAATAAGACACAATACAAGAAAATGAGATAAAAAGAAAGAGAAAAATGTATATTGATTATTTATAATAATGGCACTTTGTAAGTTATTTCATTAAGATTTGTGAGCATGAGATCAGGGTAGCAAATTTCACATTCCAGACTGGAGACAAGTTTGGAAGCTATGTGTGTCTCATCCTGCTTGTATTGTAATTTAAAATCAACTCTGGCAGTCTTTCCTATTTGCTGATCAGTGAACCCTGGGGCAGTGGCAAGGCATGATCAGCTTACAATTGTAAGTACTCGAAGGTGACAATTACACTGGAGAGGTTATCACATAACATTTTCCTCCTTGTCTCTTTACTGTTGAGAGAATGCATCGAAGTACTGGTTACCGGTAGCTTTCACATATCACAGTTTCTTTAAGAGTGCAGTAAGTGTGCAGTGGGTGTTTTTTTTAAAACTCTTAACAAGTGATACACACTCTAGGAGACGTACTTGAGTGGTGTATTTGTAGCAAATCAGTTAACAGCAACAACAAAATAGAAAATTCATTTTTTTTCATGTGAAAGCGTAAGCTGCAAGTACATCCATTACATGCAAACCTCCCTACTGCCTGGGGGTCAGATTTAAAGGGTCTGTAATATTGTTTACAAACACTCCCTCATTCTTAGAAGGTTATCCTTTTTGAATTATAGGCAGTTTTTTTAAATAACTATTAAAAAGAATAGCCGCGTCGTGGCTAAGGCGTTGCGAGTCCGACTCGTGAGCCAGCATACCGCGATCGAAACCCACTGCAGGCTGAGTGGATTGTTGTCGTGGTATGGGACGTCGCAGGTCGACCCAGTCTAAAATGGGTACCAGGATGGGCTGTCCTGGGAAAGTAAAGACAGCTGGCGTAATGCTGACCACATTACCCACAGAGTGCTGATGGTCTGTAAAAATATGGGACGCTCTGCCCATATGCCCGATACGCCTAAAGGCGTAAAAAGGGATCTTTACTTTACTTTTACTATTAAAAAGAATAGGGTCAACATGTATTAGCTGTTAAGAAAAATCCCTGACTTATGATACCACATTGAAAGCTTCACATTTTGTGTGGTACAGCAATAAAAGCTCCACATTTTGTGTAGTAGAACATTAAAAGCTCCACATTTTGTGTAGTAGAACATTAAAAGCTCCACATTTAGTGTAGTAGAACATTTAAAGCTCCACATTTTGTGTGGTAGAACATTAAAAGCTCCACATTTTGTGTGGTAGAACATTAAAAGCTCCACATTTTGTGTGGTAGAACATTAAAAGCTCCACATTTTGTGTGGTAGAACATTAAAAGCTCCACAAATTGTGTAGTAGAACATTAAAAGCTCCACATTTTGTGTAATAGAAAATTAAAAGCTCCACATTTTGTGTGGCAGAACATTAAAAGCTCCACATTTTGTGTGGTAGAACATTAAAAGCTCCACATTTTGTGTGGTAGAACATTAAAAGCTCCACATTTTGTGTGGTAGAACATTAAAAGCTCCACATTTTGTGTGGTAGAACATTAAAAGCTCCACATTTTCTGTGGTACCAAATTAAAAGCTCCCCAGTTTGTATAGTACAGGATTGAAAGATCCAAATTTGTATGATACAGTATTGATAGCTCCCCATGATACAGCATTGAAAGCACACTTTG